CAAATCTAAAATAGTCCATACATCATACTCGTTCGTCAATAGAACGGCAAAGCTTTGGAATTCTGTGCCAATGGAAGTATTACCAAGAACTTAACCTCCAAAAATTAAAAAAAAAAACTCAAACACCTACCTCCTCTCCCTATCCTCCCTAGGTACGCACGATGTTCAACGAACATTATAGGAATTTCCTTTCGTGTATTCCAAGAGATGAAAAAATATATATATATTCAACTGAAACAAATGAATGATTGAAATTTTTCAGTAAACGAGGGAATTCATCTACTACATTTTTATTTAGAATGACAAAATATACCTCATAAAATAAACAACAAATAAATAAATTTCATCGCTTCTTTCAGATATGGATTGAATAACAATGTTTTCTTCAAACTTCAACCCCCTATAACTTGAAATGGATAAATAGTCGGCACATATTATAATCTCTATAAATAATATGTATGAAATTTTCAGGAAGAACAAAAATTGCTAATACAGCTAATTTAGCCACTTGAAACCAAACAATTACCAGGGATGGATGAGTGGACTGATAATAAATTATAAGCATTCAATACTTTATGTAAATACATAATGAGTGTGTGTGTTATACAAAATTGTTGAATTTCAGAACTCATTTCAAACGTACCGTCATCATATACGTATTAATAAACAATACGGATCATGACGGGTGCCAGGATGAAGCAAAAAATATGAAACAAATGAATATCCATAAGGATTTGGTGGCATGATACGTAGTCATCAAAGACATGCGTTTCGGTGGACAATGACGTTTACTAGCCTTTCAATCAAAGCAGTATGTGTCTGATCGTATCTCACTTTTCCTTATGGATAGTCATTTGTCTTAAAAAATCGGCTTCATGTTTCGCTATGGAAACAGATAGAGATTATTCGTATTGATTATTAATACGTATATGACCGTCATGGCCGCCATTTGGCGATACGTCGAATAAATGGTGACGGTCAGTTTTTATGCTGTTTCGTTATGTAAGAATTCATTTTTTTCCTTGAACGAAACGCCTAGTATAAAAATTACATGGGTACCTAATTCTAAGGGAAACTGATTATTCCGATAACCTAAACAAAACTCGCAAAGGCGTGATGGTATTGTTTATATTAACACCATTAAGATAAAATGGGTATCGAGTCTCTCAGAATCTTGGGAGAAATTGTATTCTCATTTTCATATAGTTCTTTGTCGAGTGTGTTCAATGATATCTGCTCTTTTCCTTGAAATTATTGGTTACCTAGTGATTTACTGACTTATAGTTATTGTGACTTTTGTGGTTGTTCATTATCGTTACACGAATCTGGTGAGTCTACTCACGGGCAAAATAATTTACCTATGCACTTGTATTTTATTTGATTATTATTTAATTGTTGATATTTTACTGGTTACAATGAGGTATATGTATCTGTCGTTCAGATGCTAGACACAGTCGTTCGTGTCGATTTTAGACGCTGTCGTTCAGTGTCGCATATTCCTGTCGTTCGGAATATTACTCCTGTCGTTCGGAGTACTTGGCATTGTCGTTCATGCCCTTATACTGTCGTTCAGTATTTTGTAATTGTAATCATTAAAAATCACTAACATTGATATTCTTGTTAATTACAATAGCAGAAAATCAATGGATAAAGATCGAATGTTCACACAATAAGTCAGTTTGATTCAATAACTTGTTCAGGCGAATTCTTTTGCTCAAGGAATGGTTTTTCTTCAATTTACAGGCAGATATCAAAAGATTCAACCAAAGACGGCCAACCTAGTAATAATCAGATGATTTCAATGATCGCCCAATTGATGTAAGTAGTTGATGAGTTCGTTGATTATTTTCATTTTATTTACAAAGAGGCTTCATTAATTATGATGAGGTCCTCACAGTTATTGGTCAGATCATCTTCCATTCCCACTTATGAAGCAAGGTTTTCAAGTCACCAATTATAATCAAGCTATCAAACATATGTTAGAGTCCTGTCGTTGAATGATACATAATAGTAGAATGAGAATGCCACGATATATTATGATTAATTTTTGACTTTCTTGAGGAGCCAGCATGTCTAAATATTTCCTATTATAACAAAATATTCGGTAAATATTGGAGACTTGGCAACATGTGCTGAAAGCCGAGAATTGACAAGACAACGCTCACAATTTGTGCGCCGTGTTGTCACATTCACCGGTTCAAATGTGTGTGAATTGATATAATTATTATTTACGCAAATTTATTATAAGCAATATGCTACAACACAGGAGAGGAGGAACATTTTGAGACAATGCATTTTTATTTCTAATTATAGGAGTATTACCAATACATAATTGAGAATTTATGAATTATTGAGTAATATTTATGAAGTTCCGATCGTATTTCAACATATGGCAACTGTGCTATGGTCTGCACCTACTTACGAATTCGTGACGTCAGTTTTTAAACTCGCGGTAAATTTCTGCCTTTCGAAAATGAGCGTGGCATTATTGATGATTTTAGCACCTTAGAATCGAAAGTGATGATTCCATTTAAGAAATAACAAAAAATAAGTCTACTTGTCTATTAGCAAAACACGAATTTCAACGAACCAACTCTCATAATCGCGATAATAGTAATTCGACGATTCGAACACTAGTCCCGATATAAATTCCTTCCGACGACATAAAGACGTCGTCCTCAACTCCAAGGGAAAGCCGAAAAGAGAATTCGAACGCGTCATTAAATTTTCCTTCCCGATTTTTCAGTTCGCCGCCGCCGCCGCGCAACAACCAGACCGTCAGACATAAAGGCACTTCCAAGTCTGATCCGCGTAATTGAACCTCCAATTGGACTTTATGGTACCATCGAATGAGATCTGTGTCGAGAGATCGCATGTTCTATATGGATCGTCTCATGCATCATTTTTTTTTTCTATTACTATTTATTTTTTTATTGCCTCACCACGTACAATCTATCGCCCATATAATTTCTGTAGTTTTATATGTGTTAATTGGAGTGTTCCGAATGTTTCCTTGTAATTTGTATATAACTATACTGTTTTTGAGAACCTATGATAACTTTACTGTCAACATTTGGTAAACAATCTTTCCCGATAGCCAATTTCTGTAATATACTTGTACGCTTTTTTTCTGAATACAGCTGTACATACATCATGTGTTCGTTTTTCATATGGTATCCGCAAATATGAACACATTAGTGATGCCTTTCATGACTCTGGATGGCTGAAACTGAAACACACGAGGGAAATACACCTACTCACTTTCACCCACAAAATTTTGACATCTGGTTCACCGCCATATTTACGTAATAAACTTTCTAAACTATCACTTAAAAAGTCTTCGCGCAACAAGCATTTGCTACTTATTCCTCGACATACCAAGTCAATTTTCACCCGAAGCTTTTCCTATAATGCTGCTAAGCTTGTTTTTTTAATCTATGGCTCTACAATACCATCCCTGTTGAATTCAAGGAATTCACTTTAAATAATTTTAAGAAACGGCTGAAATTGTTTTTCTCTGGGCGGCAGTAGTTTTTCCTGTTTTATGATGGCGTGATTTTTGATCTGGTTGTAACTATCTTATTTAGTGCATTAAACTGTACTGTCCACTTATACATTTATACAAATTTTCTGGTAATTATTCCGATAACCTATGTACAATTCTTAATCATAAATTCATTTTGAAAATTCTGTAATTTAGTTTCTTATTAATTATATTTATATCATTCTACCGATTGGGTTTAAAAGCAGCTTCTTAGTTGAACCCCGCCCTTTCATCTATTTGTTTCTTTCTCTCTACCAGTTGTGAAATGATGATGATGAATAAAGACATATTATTATTATTATTATTATTATTATATTCAATTATTATTATCAGAGAGACCATTAAGTAAACAATGATGTGCCATTGAGAATTGATGTGCACATTTGTACAAAATTCGCTCAAATGACAGAAATGTTGTGAAAATCCTGAATAGGTTTTTTTTTCTTCTGTGACGGAGAAAAAAGTTTGAAATTTCATCTCTGTTGACAGAGGTTATGCAATGTCACTTTTCATAAATTACTCTTTTCCCACGGGAAAAAAGTGAATTCTCATTTCCCGGATATATATCACATATACAGTGTGACCCATTTAAAATGGAACCACCCCTGTATCTTACGTAATCGTTGGGTAAGGATCCTGAAATTTGCTGGAGCGAGAGATATACCAAAAATGCGCTCTATGACCAAGTGGGGTCATCTTCAGTGATATACACTGCTCGCCAACAGCCATGAAACCACCCAAATTTCCGGAAAATGATATTAGGAGTCAAAATAGGTTGAAAATCACGTCGGATTCGGAATCAGGACGCCCAAGTTACTAACTATTCAAAGTTTTCCTAGAAGATTTTCAGTTCAGTAAAATTAAAATTTGTCTCACTTCTCATGGAAGCACCCCCGTATCTCACGTAATTATTGAGGTAGGGTTCTGAAATTTGCCGGAGGAAGAGAAAGTCCAAAGATAAAGTCAATTACGTGAGATACGGGAGTGCGACAAAATTTAATTTTTCCGAACTGAAAATTTTCCAGGGAAAATTTGAATAGTTAGTAAATTGGGCGTCCTGATTCCAAATCTGAAGTGATTTTCGACCTATTTTGACTCCTAATATCATTTTCCGGAAATTGAGGTGGTTTCATGGCTGTTGGTGAGCAGTGTATACACTGAAGATGACCCCACTTGGTCATAGAGTGCATTTTTGGTAAATCTCCCGCTCCAGCAAATTTCAGGATTACGTAAGATACAGGGGTGGTTCCATTTTAAATGGGTCACACTGTATATACACTGTTGATGGCTTTTGTTGTCCTATAGTTTCGAAAAATGAGCCAATAATACCGTCTCCCAGTACCGTAACTTACTAAACAACCACTGAATACGCCATTTTTAAAAATCAAATTACATAATTAGACTCACAGTGTAGTGGAACACCCTGTTACTATTGTAGCAGGTCCGAGATACTCACCGCATTCGAGTGCGTCTGGTCCGTCTTGAGCTCTTTGTGATTCGAGTATTGTACGTAGACAGCCCTGCCGCGCAATTGCGCTATGCACCCCGAAAAGTACCCCACCATCGATGTAGCCGACTGCTCGTCGCCCATCTCTAAGAAGGCCTGGTTCTTCCCTTTGAGCACCAGCACGTTGGTGACGCGACCGAAGGGCAGACCCAGGTGGATGATCTCGGCCTCCGATACGTCGCTGGGGATGTTGCGAATGTGGATGACGCGGGACGGTTTGCCCACGTTTTGTTCGAGTTTCACCTGGAACATGAAAAGGGTTCAGTTATTCAACAGGTTCCATGAACAACGAAAGGAATTGCATCATAATTCGAGGTTAATTTAAGGCACTAGGATTCGTGCCTATCCGTGTATATCCGGCCCTCCACTGTGACTCAAACCAATTCATATTTCACCAAGTAGAACCAGCTTCTTTATGAAGCCGATGAAGCCTAGCCATAGCACCACTATACGGGAAATATTGCCACGGTGGCAAGTCAAGAGCGTATGGAATTGTTTTGTAGTTTGATTTGCCAGAAGCGTGGTGGTCATTAGAGTTGTGTTCCTTCCTCTGAAGGAGGTTTTTGTTTTTGCATTTCAATTTTCCTCCACAAGACACCACACCCACCACTGATGGCGTATGAACGACTCCCCCATCCATTGGGTAACCTCAGTGAAATAACCTATATAAAGGGCTTAGCCCTAGGAGATAGGCTTCTGCGACGACCACTTTGCATATGCACCCACATTCCTTGGCCAACACCAGCCACCTCTGTCTTACTCGGAGGATTTTATCTATACAGTTTTCAACTGGTTCATATGTTCATTTATTTATCAACGATTTGTTGGAAGCAACTTCATATCCAGTACACAACTTCGCGGATGATAGTAGTCTCTTCCAGGACTCCAATTCCAGCCAGGCAAATCAGAAACGAGCCAGGGAGAAATGTTGACAACATGGATATGGACTTGGCAACAATTCTCGAATGAAGATTCAATAACTTGGTAGAGTTCACAAACAAAACACAAGCATGCCTTTTTTCTAGAAAAGCCGATCTCACTGTGCACAACATAAGCATGTCAGGAGAAACCATACCTTTGAAGACATCGATTTCGATGCTTGGGATTACTATCCAATAACCTTTCTTGGGAAAATCAAGTGAGATCAATTGCTAAAAGTGCATCCCAAAAACTTGGTTTTCTGTATCGGGCCAGGAGCTATTTCACTTCCAGTCAGCTGCTTGTCATGTGTAAGGCACAGATCCGACCTGTCCTGGAATACTGTTTCCATATTTGGAATGCAGCACCCAAACATACCCTGAAACTGTCGGATTCTGTCCAAAAAAGGGCAATTCGTCTGGTGGGTGATGCCTCGCTCACAAACTCACTCACTTCTCTGGAACACCGTAGAAAAGTTGGCGATCTGGCTCTATTTTATAGATATTTCCATGGACGCTGCTCTTCTGAAATATCAACAATTGTTCCTCCCTTGGCAGTCCCCGCGAGATCAATCCGTCGAATTGAGGCTTCGTACCCCTTCGTGGTCACTATGGAGACCTGCAGACCATCTCTTTCCAAAGACTCGTTCATCCAACGAACAGCGAGGCTCTGGAACTCATAGCCAAGGGAGGTACCCCGAGGCATATAACCTCCAGAAATTTAAGAAGAACACCAATTCCTACCTTTTTTTCCCTTGGTTCTTACGATGTTCTCTGAACATAACAGGATATCCTTTTTCGTGGGAACCAGAACAGGAAAAAAATATTTTTTTTTCAATTTTTTTTTCGAAGTAATTAATCGAAAAAATACTATAGAGGCATTCATTGATTAGGCAGGAAGTGATTCGTTATTTCAATTATGTTTCTTTCTCTGCCGATCGTTCGTGATACTACTACAACTGCTGTTGAAAACATTCTGTATTATGTTACTATTATGGAAACGTATGATATTCGATATCTGGTAGGAACATAATTCGATTCCCTGGAATGGCAATAACTGGTAATAGTGCATATTATTTATTATATGTTCCATCTATAATTCACGTTCATGGCATCGATCATTTCAAATTGGGTACTGATTGAATTTGAATTTGATGGTGCGCACATGTGTATAATCGATAAACTTTTCGCCTATTGGAAAAACAATTTTCTCATCGCAAAAAGAAAAATGCACGCTAATCATCTAATCATATTCCAACAGACAATTCTTTATTTCAACTATCATTGTTTATATTAGGAAATTATTCATGAATTTTGAATGGAAATATTGATTGGGACATGGTACATTCTAGACCGCCAATAATTGAGCATTCGCCATTTTCAGTATATGTGCGATACCGCCAAAATATCAATTATCTTGCAGTTCGCGGTCGCCATACATTTGATGACGTTACGATGACATCAAAAACTACTGGAAAACATCCCGTAGCTTTTAATGTCATGATAATAAAATAGTTGGTTATTGATCATGCAATTTGAATTCTCATAACTCTTCAATAAAGAAACCCTTATAACTCGACCTTCGGAGTTTCAAAAAAACCCGAAAACCTTTGCTAGGGTGAGTAGAACACTGCAAAATAAGTTGGGTTTGTTCAGTAAAAAATGTCGTAACGTCATCCGTTTTCAAGAGCCGTGTTGAAAAAAAAATGTATTCACACATTTTTCACGATTGTTTACGAAATTACTATACAGGGTGTGCCACTGAGGTCGGCGAGGTACGATATCTTGGAAACCATAAACCTCAGGACTTCGAGGAAAGAGAATTATGGACTAAATCGGCCAAGAAAAATTGATAGAAAATATTTTCAAGTTCAAAAAACGACCGCTAGGGGGCGCAATCTTTATGATAAAACTGAAAATTCAATTTTTCTCGAAAATCACTAAATTAAGGTACTGCTTCAATGACGGAAATGCAGAGTTCATTGAAATTCGCGTCAGTTTGTACCCGGACTTGAAAAATAAAGGTGGGGAAAGCTGGTGAAGAAATCATTTTTGAAAACGCTTCATCTCCGATATCCTTTCTCCGAATTTGATCAACTTTGGCTTATTTGGAAGAGAATTTCACACCAATTCAAACACTGAATTTGACATTAATCTCTAGTTCACACAGCGTCCACTAGATGGCGTCGTTCACCCAAGATTCTGTTTTTTTTATTTTTTCCAAAAAAATCAAATGGGATGCTACATATTTTGATCACCAGATTCAAAACACATAAAATAAGCTACATTTTGGCGAAAGCCGCGATTCGATATATTCTGAACTCTGCATTTCCGTCATTGAAACAGTACCTCAATATAGTGGTTTTCGAAAAAACTTGAATTTTTAGTTTTATCATAAAGATTGCGCCCCCTAGCGGTCGTTTCATGAACTTGAAAATATTTTCTATCAATTTTTCTTGCCGATTTAGTCCTTAATTTTTTTTCTCGAAGTCCTGAGGTTTATGATTTCCATGATATCGTACCTCGCCGACCTTAGTGGGACACCCTGTATATTTATTTTCCTCACATCTTCTTTCTATTTTGACCAAAGTTCATTAAAAGATTCTCGAAAAAGTCTAACAATCATCCCTTCATGCAATAACCTCTCGCGTAGCCTGCTCCTTCATCATCAATAAAAATAATTTTCCGATGCGCCTGACACTTCCCATTAACAGCAAGGTATCAAAACATATGATGCCTTTTCCATTTCACGCTCGAAATAGGCTCCTACATACTTCCACAGAAAGGGCCAAACGTCATTGCGAGCGTGATCAATCCACTTGTTTGCCATCCAGTTTTCTGGCTGGGGCGAAAGGGACACAAACACATACTCTCAGAATCGAACCAGCCGCCTGAACCGCTTCTACAAACACAAAATGAGGCGGTTGAATGGGGGTAATCGATCTGAGTCGAAATACTAATTCAGGCGGTTCGAAGTTCCCCTGAATACAATCAAATTAGGTGAATATGATGCCCACATTCCGAACATTGGAAGCTATACAACAATAATGCGAATTCGTAAATGGTGGCCTCTTCGGATTATATCTGATATCCACGCCGCTGGATTTCATCAAATAGAATAAGATTCAATACAGTTTAGTGTGCCAACAGTTGGTTCTCTTTGTGAACCTAAATATGGCAACAATGTATGAGCTGAGACACAAGGAAGCCATCACATCGTCGTCGCTGAGTTCTATTGTAATCAGCTGGAAAATAGTTAGGAAATGCTGAGGAAAAGGAAACGAGATGTAAACAGAAATAGATTCACCCTTCTACAGATTCCGGGACATACCGGAGTAGAGGGAAGTCATGCAGCAGACGAACTCGCTATTAGGGAAGAAGTTCAATCAACTTTTGTAGGACCAGAAATTAGCAGCATTACTAACTATATTCGAAGAAATCAGGAAAGAAGTTGAGCAGGGAAGTAATCTGTAATCTCCCTATACGAATTTAGTGTCTGAAAAGGGCATCTTTATAATTTGAAACCAAAATGAAAAACATTCACCACAATTCCATAATCAACCAAATATTCGAAAGTTGCTTTCAATCAAGTTTGCTTTGGAAAAAATCAAGATGCTATCGCAACAACGTTTTTTTCCAAAGCAAACTTTATCGAAAGCAACATTCGAGGTTTTGATTCGATTTGAAATTACCAAAATGTCACTTTTCAAACGTTAATATTCCAGAAATTCAGAAGAACTCATTAGAACTATGGGAATATTTCGAAAAAGAAATAATATACGGGGCGTTTCATTCAAAAAAACAATCGAAGATGGCGCGTTCAGTTACCATTTTGAAACTTTATGCTGTAATTTTTTCATCAAAGAATACATTTTCATCTCCTATCTGAGCCGTCCAAATTTCGTTATTATTATTTCCTCCATCCCCCCCAAACTAGAATAGCATTATGTGATTTGTTGGTTCAACTGTAGGAGAAAACTACCTGCAATAAAAATCAAACTTGTTATTTTTTATGTTCCTCATAGTATTCCCAAGAACTAATAACCTCCAAAAGTTGAAAAACACCTACCTCCTCTCCCTATCCTCCCTAGGCACGCACGATATTCCACGAACATTATAGGAATTTTCTTTCGTGCGCTCCAAAAGGTAAAAAAAATAGGTATATTTGTCGGACTCTTTTTATTCAACGCTGATGAGAGATTATGTTGGGCGGAATAGAGGAACCTTTCTGTTCGATGTGTCGTTTGTACTTTCTGGGCTACCAACTATTTCATGCGGCCAAACTATTTCCTATTAGTAGACCGGATATCATTATTGCCATCGATA